TCAGCTGAACATAGCCTGTCTCTAGTGCCACCCGGACGCTGTTGCCGTAGGATAAACCGTGTGAATGCTGCTCAGCTGGATAAGTCAGGTCGCAGGGCTCCTTGAACTCTTTGCCACCTGCAATCCAGCAGCTGTCGCCGCACTCGGGCAGTGGTCTTACTCTGGTTCCTGCAGTGAGCTCCTGTGCGCACAGTTTAGATCTAGTCACTTATTTCACTCTGATTATTGAAACGAAATGACAGCAGGGTCTTCCCCGCTGAAGGGTAACCCCGTGGACCGAAGCATTTCTCCTCTTTATGCATCCTGAGTAGTAAGGGAGTTTCATTCCTTTGCAAGAAAATGAAGGTGAGCAAGTACATTCTGAGTCCTGTTAGGTTTTCCTCACGGCGGCCTTGGTAGCCTCCGTTTCCAGGTTCCTCTGTGCGTAATGCTGCTCTCATGTCCTTTCTGCTCGGACCCATGTCATCGAATCCCATCCTTCCAGGAACCTTTACTATGTTCCTCTCTAAACAGAGCACAGAGTTCAACTTCCATGAAAACATTCGGGAATCGATTCTACTTAGTCTACTTATTAATCTTTTTAAGATTAAGCGTATGGGACATTTCAATAATACACAAAAGTAAAGAGAATAATATGAGTATTCGTAGTATAGCCACCACTCCCGCAGCCTCAACAGTTTTTTAACACGTTGCCATTCTTGGTCGTCCGCCACTCCTCCCACACTTAAAAAAGATTTTGCTGGGGTATTTTAAAGCAACTTCCAGATAAGATATATGTCATCCATAAACACCTAATTATTTTTTTAAACATAACAGGATAGCACTAAACAAAATTAGCAATAGTTCTTTAATATCATCTAATATTCAGATTACATTCAATTTCCCCCCATTGTTTCAACAATGTCTGTTTGTAATCGACTTNCTCAGCAATGTCTGTTTATAATCGACTTGCTTAAATCAGGGTTAATGAGGTTCTTCTCCACATTGCACTTGGTTACAATATTTCTTAAGTCCCTTTGAAACTAACAATTCTTTGTCTTTTTTTCAGAGCATTTATTTGTTTAAAATGCTGGCTTTCTTATTTCTTTTTCCAACATTTCCTTAGTGTGATGGGCTGAGCGTTCCTGGCTTGATTCATGTGTAACTCACAAGTCAGTCATGTGGGTGTCTCCCTGGCTTTCAGCTGCTGGAAGCAGCCTGTCCCTGACACTTAAAGGGGGGGTTGGGGGTGGAGAAGGTAAAGGGGGCTTAAATGGTGAAGGAAGGAGACTTGACTTGGGGTGGTAAGCGCACAGTACAATATACAGATGATGTATTGTGGAATTGTATACCTGAAACCTATATAATTTTATTAACCAATATTACCCCAATAAANATACAATATACAGATGATGTATTGTGGAATTGTATTCCTGAAACCTATATAATTTTATTAACCAATATTACCCCAATAAATTCAACAAAAAACTCTGTGCCTCAATAAATAAAATTATCAATAAAATAAATGGATATAATCAGGAGAGAGTTAAATATGGAATTTTACTTTACAATAATTATTTGATATTTGTTGACTTCACTAAGAAGCTTTTTATGGTGAATTATTTGTAGGGCAGCATGATTTTTGGCCCATCTTTCCAAAAGGACCTCAGCCCAGAGGAGACCTTGCATAATCATTGCGCACAAGATATACATGCTCCTCCTGTAAATATAGATACAATTGTCTGAGTATATGCAGCATTTTGGTGTGCTAGGAACCATGCTCAGTATGATGAATCCTTTCTACAGTTAAAACCACCCTGTTTTAAGTGTCTTAGAAATGATTTTTAAGATTTATAAAGTTGAGAGACCAGATGACTTCCTTTCCAAACGTTTACGTTTTTCTCACCCCCAATAGCAGGAAGCTCATTTCAGATTGCATTCTGTGTTTGAATTGTTATATTTCCTCCAAGTCAAAATAGAAACAAGTTGAGATGTGTGATAAATTTTCAACATATTGTACAAATGCTGGTGTTGCTACTTGTTTGCATAACATGGTATGAGTAATTCATTCAGAGTTCATTGTCTAAAATCTCTGATAAGAGGAGTGGAGTGCTGAGTGGGTTCTGAGAACAGATATGAGAATTTTACACATTTTTTCTTTTCAACTAGTCAAAATACTAAAGATGTTATGTACTGCAAGTATATAGGGAAAAGGGCTTCAGATTTTTGTAAGTGGTATATATAGACCTGCACAAAATTAATTTGCTTCTGGAATTGTGTTGGTAGTGGTTTTATTTTGGTTTGGTGTTTTGATATTATTTAATGTGATGACAATTGGAGCAGTTCTGAAATACAATTTGTGGGAAAGAACCTTGGAGAAAGAACCTTAATGGAGAACCTAAGACAACTTCATTTAGTTTCTCAAAAGATTTATAATCAGGTCTCTGTTTCATAGAGCCAAATTGGGTGAGTAGGTAAAGGTAATCTTATTTCAAGGAACCCACATTTAGTTTTGTAATTTTCTTTTAGTTATAAACAGTGTGACCTGCTTCAAAGCCTAGAGTTCTAACATGGTCATATCTCTTATTTTTCAAATTTATCATACTTGGGGTTCCTGCTAATCCTGATTAGTAAAAAGTATAATATCTTCATCTTTATCAACCCTTCCTCTTGAGCCTCCTTGGGGCAACTTTGCCCACAAACCACCAGAGCTTACTAATTCTGAAGTGTTTAAGGAGCCAACCCTGCTTCCACAGATGTAGCAAGAATTGCAAAATCACATCAGCTCATTAACACACCACGTCATGGGGACTCCTCCTACATCAATCCACAGGTAGCATTCTTCCAAACTGTGTGGATGCTCTTTTTGGCCCCTCCTTGTACTGGTCCCCTGGAGCTCCAAGTTTAGAGCTGCCTTAGCTCATTCCCACATGCTCAGCCATTGTTTCCCAAAGCTTGGCGCAATGACAGGGTAACTGGGTACCAGAGGACTTTTGATCTTAGCCACAGGTCTTAACCAGACCCATCCTTGTGCCTTCAATGCTCAAACCGAGTGGGTCTTCAACTTGAATGTGCATCAGGAAATCCGAGCAGCTTGAAACAAATGCATATCCCTTGACCCCACACACAGAATTCCTATTCAGGAGCTGGGGAGTGAACCTAAGATTCTTCAACTTCAGTAGCATTTCAGGTGTTTCTGATGTAAGTAAAAATATAGTACCCACTAGAGCAGTAGTCTCCATGCACTGCTGCATGTGTGAACCATCTGGGAACTTTAAAAAGATGCAAATGCCCAGGACCCTGTCCTCCATCACTTAAATCAGAATGTTTGAATTCAGCAAAGGGGTGGAAAGGTTCCAAAAGCTATCCAGGCGATTTTAATCTGCAGCCTGACTTGAGACCCACTACCTTAGGCTGGTATGAAAAACATAGATCACCAGGCATTTCCTCTCCCATGTGGTGAGAGTCTTTGGGGCATTTAATGTTTTTTCCTGTCACATAACCTTCATAAAGGCATTACTGTCCACTCTACCAGGTTTTCATATCTTTAAAATTCAGAGACTCCTGTTCTTTTCATAAAATTGGCCCTTCTGGGTTGTGAGTACTCAATGAAGAGATACCTATAGCTAAGAAATGGGTGAGTATTCACCTACGTTTGCACAATTGTGTAACTTTTCCTGTAGCAGTTGCAACAAATTGTGTTCACCTACAGGGAGAAAGCCTTCCCTTGTTAGAATTTTTATATCCTAATACACACCCCATCACGCAGCCCTACACTACTAGGTGTTAAGTTTTAATATACAGATTCAGAGAGTATTGTCTAACCTGAGGCCTTCTGTGTTCCCCCCTCCACCACTGTAATTTGGGATCAAAATATCAGACCCCTTCACCTTACTTTCATAATGATAGAATCCTGAGCAGGGCAGAAATCAGCAGCCCTTTCAGCCTCGCCCATAAACCTGAAAGTCCGTGTAAATCAGTCCGACTAAGGCCGTTTAAGCTAGTTCAATAAAGACTTAACTAACTTTAGGACCAAGGTATAAATGTTTCATCTGCCACCTCAATAAATGAATGAGTTATTTTAAAACCAACAGGGAAAATGGCAGAGGGAGAAAGGGGATTTTAAACATCACTTAAGCTTTTAAAAAGCATTTACCTTAAAGCAATTTTACCTCTATGTTCAGTAAGTAATGAAGCTATGACATGGCTTATAGAAATCAGTAAAACAGTATTTTGGGGAAATCATCTATACGAATCAAAATTACTTGACCATTTTTTTAGGAATCCATACGTAGCTGTGGAAATAGCAATTATTATATGATACATTAGGGTTGGTAAAAGTTTTTATTTTTATTTTTGAATTTTTGGTTGATATTTGTGCATGTGAAGAACTTGTAGACAGAGAGGATGGGGGACTTTGACACTGCCCACTCCCATTAACTACTCAAAAGCCATCACAACAAACTTCCAATGTAAAAACACAAAAACAAAAATATGCAAATGCAGCTTCAAGACAAGTTCTTCTGTAAGAATCCTCTTCCCACCAATTTGTTGCCGCTAAGTCTCTCCTGTATAGGAATCCTAGAGTGACCAATGATACGAAAGCAATTATTAGAGGTATGTGATGTCTCCCAGCATCTCTCTGAATAGCCCATGTTCAACATAAACTATTATTAGAACCCATGAATTATTTATTTATGTCTTAAATAATTCATTTCTCAATATACTCCACCTGTGACTTGAAATTCTTACTAGCGTCTAGTAAAAATTGCTAAGTGGCAAGTGTGTGCGCTTTTTTGGTATCACAAAAACCACTGCGGATTATCCATGATTTTTCTTTTAAACCTATGCCATCAATTTAATGGCTACTGTGGTTATCAGAAACACTCCTTTTAGATTCCTGCTGCAAACAAAGAATTAAAAGGATTCCTCTGACTGCTTAAGAAAATGTTAATTCCTAAATTATAGAGTAATTCCAGACACTCCAGTTTGCTGTAAATGGCTCTCTGCTTTTCCTCTAGCCATTACTTGTCGAAAGCACGATGGAGGGCAGGCCGGCATCCACGAATGCCTGCAGGACGCGGGCCCCGTGCCAGCCCTCACCCAGGCCTGCCAGGTCCCCTGCCAGGATGACTGTCAGTTTACCAGCTGGTCCAAGTTTTCTTCGTGCAACGGAGACTGTGGGGCGGTCAGGACCAGAAAGCGCACCATTGTTGGTAAGAACAATTAGTTGGAATGCCAAAGTCAACACTTGTCAAGGTAGAAAAACACAAAAAAGTCGGGCCAAGATAGTTCCGACAATGTATTTGGAAAATGCGCAGATGTGCCTTATTGTTGGTACACTTCTACCTAATACATCAGTGGATTTGGATGTGTATTTTAATGTAAGTGGCCAGCGACAGTCACGTTGTGTAATTTTAGTAAAAAGAAGAAGTAGCCTTGGAAAGGCTGCCACTTCATTTTCTTAACCCATTCTCACCGCATAGCCTTGAATTATCCTTCATATCCTAGAAGAGGACTCTGACCTTAATTCTGTATCTGAAAATTGCATTTTAAAAGGCAGTCACAGTGGCAAAAAGGAGTGATCTAATGAGCAAGAACAGGAGCCAACACGCTGAACTAAACCCTTGCAATTCAAAAATACTGTCAGTGGCAAAAGAAACCTAAAAATATTGGTGCTAGTAGACTGGTCAGAATTGAAAAGTTATAAAATAAGCCACCTGTCATAATGAAAACTGCATAAGCTAGCTTAGAAAAGTTACAGATAAATGTATGTAAAACATGTGATTAATGATATGCAGTATAATGGAAGTCTATAATATATGACACATAATATAATAAACATAAATATATGTGATCTAATTTAAATGATATATAATTTTAAGCACATGTTACTGCTGCACTTGAGGTATTTATTTAAAGGGGGATTTATTTACATTTCTATACAAACTATTTCTAATATTTTTATGCTGATGGTAATTGTCTTCATTTTGAATATTGATATTTCCTTCATTATTGTATTTCCTACATTAACCACCAAGTATGTCAAAATGATTACCCTTCAGAAATCCTGAAAGAGGCAAAATCATAATCAAAAAAGTAAATACAAAGATCTCATTTTCTGAATTGCAATCCTAGATAGCTATACCACCTATTTGGTATTAACAAATAAAGCTGTGAAGTTCAGGACAGTGGCTCCCGCTCCATTTCATGTTTTGCACATGATAGAGGAGAAATGTATGCAGTAACCTCCAGCTTCCTAGTCAGTGAAAACACACGATCATTCGAGAGGATTTTAATCATCTTAAAGAGTATAAAATTCACCACAACAGTTAGTCCCTTATATAATGGGCTATTTTTAAATGGGAAAAAAAAAATCACTATGGAAAGCACCTGGTACTAACAAAAGCCAAAATAGAAAGCACTGTGGGGTGAGAAAATAGCATTTATTTATAGGCGACTGTTGAACACAGCTAAAGTGGAGAAAGGAAGTTTAGGAAAGGCGAAATTTTAAGGAATGCTTGAAATTAATAATGGCATTTTCCAACGTAAATTTCTCCACAGGAAAAAGCAAAAAGAAGGAAAACTGTAAAAATTCTCACGTGTACCCCCTGATTGAGACTCAGTATTGTCCTTGTGACAAATATAATGCACAGCCCGTGGGGAACTGGTCAGACTGCATTTTACCGGAGGGCAAAGTAGAAGTGCTGCTGGGAATGAAGGTCCAAGGAGACATCAAGGAATGTGGTCAAGGGTACCGCTACCAAGCGATGGCATGCTACGACCAAAATGGCAGGCTCGTGGAAACTTCCAGATGTAACAGCCATGGTAATCCCGTTTTCTTTCAGTGTTATACACTTTCTGCCTTTGGGGGTGGGGGGAGAATGCACATGTGTGAGAATGGAGACAAATGAAGGTTTACAGAATTATGTTCTAAATGGAACATCATGGGGCACTACACTGTACATATGTCATTTATATGTAACAGGACATTCGGTGGCACTTATCTCTTGTCCAGGAGTTGGCAACTAAGTCCCAAAGTTGGTGGCCAAGAAGCCTCACAGGGAGGCAGAATGGTGCCAGGGCCTACCTTGGGGTTGATTAAGAGTCTGTTGACCAGACCCAACCATCCCCAACAGGTCTGCACAGAAAGGGAGGGAGGGGGAGAGGAGAGTTCAATTTAACTTAATTTGAGAATAAAGTTTTAAACTAGGCAGACTTTTAATAACTAAACTGGCAAGATTTTCAATGTGCCTAAAATGTCATTAAGTGTCAGAGAAGAAAGACTGAAGCCATAATTGGCGAAAACTCAAACATCTCCAGTTTATTGCTCATTGAGGTGAGGTTGGCCCCCCAAAAAAGTTCATGCTGTTAGGAAACTGTCTGCTTTTGATTTCTAAACATACGTACATGCATAAATAAAACAAAAAACAAAAAAAGTTAAAATACAGTGATAATAATTGAGTTGACAAAGGTTTTTGAAGAGTGACCGTTTTTGACCATTTATGTAGTGAGCTCTTTGGTTCTAAGTCCTAATACAGTCTGCCTTAAACAGTGTTTCTTCATAATTATTTTATCTTAATACAGCTGTCTTTTTGTAATGGAATGAGATCAGCTTATTGGGGGTCAGCCTGAATCCTAGATGTCGTATATTTGCAAACCCTGGACAATGATCCTCCTGCCTTCTTCATGGAGGCAGCCTAAGAAAGAAGAGTTAAGTTGCCAGGAGAGGGGTACATGGCAGCTACCTTCCAGTCTTGCCAAAATAAATTCTACTGGAATGGTGCTCCTCTAGTTTTAGCATATGGTTCAGAAAACAACATGAAGTAGTAGGACCATCTCGCATTTCTGAACCATCAAGGTATCATAGTGACACATCTGTCGGAATCCCTTACACACGTTCTTACAAAGAAGTTTCCAAAAGTCTCATTCTTTTTTAAACCTTACATCACAGCTCTTGTTTTACCAAACAAGATATAAGCCCCCAAGTCTCCATGATATCGAAGTTCTAGAGATAAGTATGTTTCAGGTTAATATATGTGCATTGCTAAGTTTAAGATTATTCCATACATTTAGAACAACAACTGTAAAAGGAAGACGAGCTTGGTGTCTGTGATAGGCACACTTGAAGAAACCTCTCTAAGTGTAACTGAGCATTTTACCCTCTGTGTCAAACAGCATAGCTGCGATAAATTAGTGCCAGGAAAACTGCAAATGTACTTCTCATTCTGAGATGATATGATGATAATGCATAAGGTCAGAATTAGCCATTAAAATATAAAATTGAAGATTACTTTAAAAGTATATTTCTCCTGGAATGTAGCCGGTAAGTGTTTGCTCACATTTTACATTGTTATGCGCAGTGAGTCACCAAGATAATCATTTGTTTTTCACATAACCTGTAAGCTTTCGGAAGGATTCTCATATATTCTCACTTTTACCCTGATCTGCTAATTAGATGCACGAGTGCTTCTGTAAGCCACTTAACCGGCAATCTTATTTTTAGAGGAAACTTTTAAAATATCCCGAGACTGTCACAAAAATGTTTGATTACTTAAAAAAAGTAAAAGCACAAAAATATTCTAAATTGGCCAGAGGCTTCCTAACTTAGCATTGTTGATTCAAAGCAAGAAGAAAGCAGTATTGGATTTTGGAAGAAAAGTACGTGTAGAAAAAAGGTGGATCCATGATGGCACTGAACTTCATGGGGATTGGGAAAGGATCTAAGGTACTAAACTAAGTGAAATCTTCCAATTTCGTTCTTTGTATCTGTCCAATATTATTCAATCTTTATTAAATCTGATCTCTGATGGATGTCTAATGGAATATTTTAGTGTTTACTACTAACATATTTACTCAAAGTAAAAACTGGGGAAATGGAATCTCTATTGCCTAATTCCTTTGGAAATTACTACTTTTTGAATATATGTTCTGTTGATTCTGATGGTGTTGGAGGGATGCTATAACTTCGTCACTCTTTCCTGGGCACACTCAAAATTTCACTTTCTATGTCCACCGTCTGCTCTCAGTCAAATCCGCTTTTCAGATGGATGGTAGAAATGGGGGTTTTAAGTTTTTTTCAAGAAAACTCTCTTCCTACTTTCAGTTTAAATATAAAATTGATCTCCACATGTATGCAGAACAGAGACACTAATCCCCTACTCAATAATGGCCTTAGGGTGTTTCTATTTTCTGTGTTGTTCATCTGTGGATCATATTATCAGTTATTATACTGACAAAGCAATTCTACTTTCACCAGTTTAATTATATTATTTTAGGCCATTTCCCATGTGGTCACTCTTTATTTAATGTCTTAACTTGGGGCACAGTTCTGTTATGTCTGGGATTCCTCATAATAGCAGACTCTCCATTGAAAAGTAATATGCCCATACTCCAAAAATCAAATCTCAAAGCATACCTTGGGAGCCACGTAAGTGTTCATCCATCCTTATACATGGTATTAAATATAGTTCCCACACAAATGCTGATATATAAATACATTTTTTGCATTTATCCTAAAAACATAATATGAATGATACACATTTTCTTTTGGTATGAAATCTCATATGGTATCACTATAGCAACAGATTTTAAATCAGTCTAAAACTAAATCACACATTTTCTAGTCACTGCTAGAATCCTCTAAGATCTTAATTGTTTCACTAGAAATTTATTGCGTGCCTAACCACATAGTACTAGATACTTCTTATGTTAATCACTTTTAAAATTTCACAGAACAAGAGGTAGAATTTCTGGAAATTTTTTATTATATCATTTAACCTTGATATTTTAAGGACTCTTAGTGGTAACCTAGCTTATGCAAGGTACATGTATACAAGATTCCATTAAACATGAGTGATAAAATTTTATATGCTGCCCCTCGGCCCTACCCAGCTGTCCCCAAACCCCTTATCTTCCTCTGCACTTTGTATTTCTAAAGCATACCCCATTCTATAACATATCATATAATTTACTTATTTGTTATGTTTATTATTTATGTTTTATCACCTGTACATGAATATAGATTGATGAGGGTATCCTGGACTATTTAATTCACTGGTGTATCCCAAGCACCTAGAACAGTAGGTGCCCAATCAATATTTGTAGAATAAATGACTGAGTGAAGGGCTGGAGAGAATTTTTGTAGTCGCATTTGATCTACAGTCAGGCTCGGACACTTTCCTTTTCCCAGACTGTCCCTCCCTCTGTTTCACATTTCTGGGAAATAATCAGAGATCGTTGAGAACAACTAAGATCTGCATAATAAGAGCTACACATGACACAAAGTTTCTATATGGTTATATATACTTATATATGCTTATCAAATAGCTGTGCTTTTCTCTACCTGCTTAATAGGAGAAGAAATAACAGCCACACACCCGCTTCAGTCAATTAGTCCTATAAAATCAACAGTGACAAGTCTCTTTATTGCCATTTAAAGCTTATTCAGAGTTGCCTAATTTGTACACTAGATTTAGACAACAGCTTACCTCTTGGTTTATATTAGTAATTGTGACAAATTGCGTTTTCCCAGCCTGTGTCTACACAACCTGTGTAAACCTGTGTTTCCCAGTCTGCATGGTTAATTGAGACTGGGGGATGTTTATTTAACTCTCCTTGTTCCCACTCACCTTTCCTTGAGAAAATAAGGAATATGATTTCTATTTGATATATTTGAAAGAGATACTTAGAAGGTGAATTGGACCAAGTATAAAAATGCCAAATGTTGGTGTCTGGAGCTCTACGAGCTACGTCCTTCCTTCAGACACTTCTCTTCAGCCTTCGCCCTCAGCAAATGTCTTTGCTATTTCTCATTGGCAGGTTAAGCCATAGGGCACTATCAGTAAATATTCTAAAATGGAACTTAATTACATTTGTGATGTTAACATCTGTTAATATCAAGTAAGCAGAAGGGCTTATCTGCTACCTTATGATTGACTTTCCTGAACCCATGCTGTTTAATGTGCACAGCTCTCCTGTCGCCTAGAAGTTATATATTGCCGTCGCTACCTATCAGATACGCCGTAAGGAAACTCAAGGATCAGCTATTAGGTTAAATTACGTGTCACCAGTGTTTTCTTACAAGGCCAGATAGCAAATATTTTAGGCGCTGCAGTCCAAAAGGCCTCTGTCACAACTACCCACCTCTGCCATTAGAGCATGACATCAGCCGTACACCACGTGTGAGTGAATGGTGTGGCTGTGTTCCAATAAAACTTTATTGACAAAACCAGGCTGCCATTTGCCAGCTGGGATTTAACCCTTGCTATTCAAAATGTGGTCTACAGACCAGCTGCACATCACAGGGAAACCCTTGGAAATGCAGACAGTGAGCCGATGCTGCAGACCTGCTGAGCCAGAGTCTGCATGGTGACAGGATCGCCAGGGGTTTCTCTCACCCACCTGAAGTTTACTTCACCGGATCACGCAGACACTCACCGGGTTTACTAGGGATCATGAGCTTGAACCTTGGGTGGAAAGGCTGCTGGAAATCACCTTGGGCAAAACAGTCAGTGCCTCCTATGTGGTACTCAGTTGATTACCAGTGTGGGGAACAGAACATTAGGAAATGTTTGAAAGTTATAAGGACAGGGCTTCGGAAGGTGAATCCCTATTTAGGTATGATTCTGAAAACAGGATGAGTCTACAGGACCTTCTGTGGAAAGGATATTGGCAATTTAGTGATCGCTCTGAGGGAAGTCTTTTTCAGTTTAGACAGAGAAATAAGACAGAGCTCTAAGTTTATTTACTGCTTGGTTGGTAAACAGGATGCCCTATTTTAATAAAGCGCTGCGCACATTTCACTTTGTACACCTCATAATTATGAT